TGGGGGGGGGGGTGGGGTCGTTCTAATTTTTACCCATGTGGATATACATGAACAGAGATATGGATTATTAACCGTCGTTTTGAAAATGTGAAAAATCTTTTAAGATGATTTACTTGAATAACCGCTTCCTCTTTTTCACTAAATTAAAGCAAAGTGATTTAATAATGATTTATATTATTTATTGTTTCTAGAAAAATTGTGATAAGAAAAAAAATTAAATTCTTTTACTTTTTTGTTGCTAAGCCTTTTGGAATGAAATGATACTCTTTCTTGAAACATTGGAGATGGAAATTTATAAAATTATTAAACTCTTGGCAATCTGGTTAATCTTGGTATAGCAATCTGGTTAATCTTGGTATAGCAATCTGGTTAATCTTGATATAGCAATCTGGTTAATATTGGTATTGCAATCTGGTTAATCTTGATATTGCAATCTGGTTAATCTTGATATTGCAATCTGGTTAATCTTGATATTGCAATCTTGTTAATCTTGATACAGCATAGTTATACGTAGATATTTCATATTTCAAACTTATATTAGATCTGACACATTACAAAGTTTGTGGAAAAGGCTCAATACTGAACCCGCATCATACAAAACCATTGGCTAAACCCAGTTTAAATTGAACCACGTTTAAAATTCCCATCTCAGATAAGTCCCTAAAATCTGTATTTTGTTAGAATAAATGATGATAAGAATGTGAATAATAATATTTACAATTTTTCTATATAAACATTCTTTACCTGGCCGGATTTAACTTTATAAAACTTGTACCAACCATCATAAATGTTAAAAAAAAATAAACAAAACGTCTAATTTACATTTTTAATATTTTCAACGATTTTTGTAAATCATGAATTAATTTTCCCCTGAATGATATCCGTTTGTTCTAATCGTTATGTATCTTTACAAAATTATGACCTGAATGAAAGTGGACCAATGTTATTATGATTTGTCGAACGTGCTAGAGTGTCTAAGAGTAGGCTCGACTTACCAAAAAAAATGATATTTGAACGTTGAACGATACATATACAACATCTATCTGATGTTCCTGTCTCGAGAAATTGATATAAAACTGTGCAAATTATACAAAAATTCATATCTATGCAATTTTGTATATAAGTTGTAGGTTTTAACAGATCATATTCAGGAAATACGAAACCAATCTGAAAAAGACTATATACTACAGAAACCTGAGAATATCAGGTTTGCTCACGTTATAATTATTTTATTTTTATTTTGCATTTTTAATTCATTGTGATTTCCGTCTGTATCACTTGACAACAATACTGCACTGTCATTGGCTTAAGTTTTGGTGACGTAATACGGACTATACGGACTATATGTAATAATATTATCAATTATATCTATTCAGAATGCAAAATCAAAAATTTAAAAATTATAATAGGAGCAAACCTGAGATTCTCAGAATCCTGTGGGATATAATTATTTCAGATTGGTCTCGTATTTGTTGAATATGTGTCTCAGAAAATGAGAAAGATATATATATGATTGGCGAGGAAGGTATTTTGGAAGTTGAGTTGGGGGAGGGTAGCTTGAGATAGTAGGATATATATAATCAGAAAAATGATGGACTTCTTAATCTTTAACCAGCAATATGATGGACTGCTCTCTCTCTAAGAATCGATGTGGTTGCAAATTAAAGAAGTATATATTGATCAGATCTGGTCACATAAAGAATATAGGGTTCTTTGTACTCGCTTTGACCGCGAGGGTGGTACGCGGGTCGAACAGTTCTTTTCTTCTTTGTAGGAGTTACATCTTGAATCCTTCCTCTTTACTGGTTCTATATCGACTGTGTCTAGCCTGCTTTTTGCAGATTGCCAAATTCAGGGCAAATTTAAAGATAGTAATATTTGACAATATAAACACTTTTAGGCTTAAAAAAGATATAAAAGTGAAAACATGAAAACATATTAATAACTTTTGTTTCAAGGGATCTAAACACCCCTTTAGCTAGGCAGCATAATACTGCGCAAAATATTCACACAGGCTGGTTTTTTGCACAGGTTTATTTCTTTCTAATACTTCTAAAATTCATATTTTCTTGTCAATTGTCATTTGTCATAAATAAAGCATGATATAAAAAGTTTATGGTGTCGTAACTTTTACACAAAATCCAAACTATAGGGATCCCAAACGATTATCAACTAATGTTCAAGATATTGGGATTAGGCTTGGTTTGGGAATAAGGTATATGAATGAGATAGAACCAATTGGAAGTAGGTGGAAAAGGTTGGGAATTGGAAAGGATACCAACTAAAGAGGAAGTTGGGATTGGGATGGAAATCAGCTGTTGAGAAATTTGGGATTGGAAGATTTGGGATTAGGAATCAATGAGAGCTAGGATGAAAATAAGGGTTCTTATATTGGTAGTTAGAGTGATTGGAAAGATTGGGGAAAGGAATAGATGTTTTTTGAGAACCACTGTATTGAAAGAGAATAAGCAAAATATTGAAGTTTAGTATAAAGGTAACGATAGGATAAAATACGTGTGTGTAAAACTAAAAGAGAATAAGTGATTTAGTGGATAAAAATGTTAAATAGGAATGAAGACGACATTTTGGAAAGGATGAAGGTATTATTGTCAAGTTAGAATAAGAGAGAGAAGGGGATATAAAAATCATCTTTAGAATCATTCAATAATCCGACTCATATGATCTGTTTAATACTACACTTACGTATAAATTTGACACAGTTTTATTTCAATTTCTTGAGACATGAACATCAGATTGATGTCTTACAAATAGGTTGTCAAGTACAATAGTCGGCAACACAGAAGGCGTACACTTTCAGTACAGCTGTTTAAACGTCATAAGTGTCAACTCAAATTTTCTGTCTGACAAAACTATAAATAATAGTGATATTTTTTAGACTAAAGTGCTTATCTTTTAGTGAAATTAGTGCAATTTTATGTGTTCTTTATTTCTGTTTGTTTACACTTTTTCATTTAACGTTCTATAGACTAAATAACAGGGTTGAAACTGATATTGTACATAACCCTTTAACATTGTAATTCGAAAGTATAACGTTAAAACATATTTCAGAAATGTTTAATGATATCTTTGGAGAAGTGCTCTGGAAAGGTCTAATCGTGGATAAACCCCCAGATCCAGGGGAAATACAGGCAACAAGAAACGGTAATTTTCTAACGAAATGTCGTCTTCTAAGGATATTTAATTTTTTTCTCAAATGTCGTATTTTACTATTTTTGAGAACACGTACGAAATATATAAAAAATTTCAAAAGTGCTTTAATCATGAAATTATTGGAAAGTCTATGTAGATATATATTATAAACAGGGTGTCCCAAACAAAAATTTGGAGACTATTTAGTTTACATAGATATACAGTGAAAAAATTAAGCCACCAAAAGAAGTAAAAATACTCTATCTGATTTTGAGTTGTAAATATTTTTTACGTATTCCTACAAAGACGACATTTACCTCCACCGAATCTGGGAAATAATACCAACTAATTAGAGGACATGTCGTCTTTCTTTTTTCATTTGACACATATGACGTTGTGCGCAGTTGGTCGATTTTTCTGTTGCCATCTATTGTACTTGACAACCTATTTGGATGTCTTATATGTATCGTTCTCAGGTTTCATCCTATACCCCCTTTCATTTTTCCTTAACAGTCCCTTTAATATTTAAATTAGTCCAGACAATCGTAATTAAGAGCTATTTATGGGACTGTAAGTGTTATTCAAATATGGTGATCCCCGATTTACAACGGTACCCTTGAAACCTTAAATTGATCAAAAATGTGAAAGATAACGTCGTTTTCTGCCTTAAAGAGTGATAAATCCCCTGAAATTTATCTTGTCTTTGTTTATAAGCAAGAAATGCGCAAGTCACTTTGGCTACCGTTTTAAATCAGGCATTTTCATCTTTATATGGAGGGTCACTTGTAATTAATTGGACTTACAGTCCCTTTAATGTTATATTGTCGAATATACTCTATATTAGAATATAAATGAAGAAATTATGTTACTTTTCTTATTAAAAACAATATAAATTCTGATAATATCCTTTATCGTTTCTGCTAATTATAAACTCGCAAGTCTATTTTACGGAAAACTTCAGTTGAAATTAATCGAATTTTAGAATTTTAGGAAAACTCGAACAATTTAGCTTCGGCAATAAAACAAAAAAAAGAATTATTATCAGTATTATTATTTCATTTCTGTTCTCATTGTTATCATTATTTGTTTTGGGCTTTTAACATTTTTTAGCTTTCACCTGTATTAGATCCTCCATACGATGCCTCGAGAGTATAGGAGTTTAGAATACCGAGGTTACGGAATACAATCCGTCCTGTAGACTCCTTGGACCGGGATATAATAATAATAATGATAATAATGATAATAATAATAATAATAATAATAATAATAATAATAATAATAATAACACTAGTAATAATAATTCAAAATCCTTGCCTGCAGTCCTCGAAGTTAAACCTATCCTTGGCATTTTTATGTAGAAGAAGAGGAAATATTTGCTCCTTTAAATATTTTTGACTTTTCTTCCTGTTTTCACAACCGTACATGAAAACGTTGTACTTCCGTGAATGTGCATGGAAATCGCAGTACAAGGTTATATTCCTTTCCTCTGTGCATTACAATATTACAAAAAAAGTTTTAAAAATGAATACACATTCTTTGGAAACAAGTTAATCAAAATGAGTGTTTTGAATTCCGAATGGGATTCAGAAAGAGTTTTTCCACCAGTTTAAAAATACTTTCTTGGCAAATTGTTAGACATGAATCCAAATATTAGAAATCCCTGTGCAGCCCTTTTTAAGAAAAAGTAGTGCGTTCAGACTTAGAAAAGGCGTTTGACTCAAAAGTTTTCTAGAGATGGTAGGGAAACCCGAAATCTTCATATGATATTATTTGTCAATTTAAGAATGTTAAATTGGAAGAAAATTACCATAAAAATAATCTCCCACAATTTTAAGTTTCAAACCTCAAATAATAAAATCAAAAATTAAAATTCTTTCAGTTGGAAAATATTAGTTTCTCAACTATTCGTCTAAAGAGGCTAAAATGCAATTACTGAATTACCAGGCGTGCCCAGGGTTTAAAAACATACAAAAAAACCTATTTTCCGCCTGTGCCCCGCCTGGGGTACCAATGGGTTCCTCAAAAAAATTCAGCCAATTCGGTTCAGTAGTTTGCTTAGCTATCAAAATCTTTATTACCATTTGTTTTTAACTTAAAGAAAATAAACAAAGAAAAAAATTTGTTCAAATAAAAGGGGCGGTTTATAACGGTTTATAACGGTATATAACGTTATACAACGGTATATAAGAACACATATATATATGCGAAGAGTTTTATTAAATAGTTTAAAACAAAAACGTCATTCATTCAGTTTTCTACCGATTATAAATGTATTTGTATATAAAAAGTAGTAATCTCTGTTTATATGTTTGTCTATTTAGATGTCCGACAGTCCGACCATAACTCAGAAACCTCTTGACCGATTGGCTTCAAATTTTTATTGGGAAACTATGGTAGAACCCCTGAAATATTCTTAGCCTGGTTTAAAACTTCTAAGTTGAGTTTGGGGACTTTTATAAGGAAAGTTTAGATCCCAGGCAAAGCTGGGTTCTAAACGTTTACTATAATTATTAATAAAATTGAGTCTTTGCCGCAACATCTGATTTTCTAATTCATATATCTTTTTAACCAAATGTTGTAGACCTTAAATAATTCAAACAATAAATTCTGTTATATCAAATAATCTAAGTTTTAAATAGCAAAGGTTTACACCATTATGTTGCAAAGATATAGGGATTGGATAATCTTAGTTTGTGACAAAGACTCAATTACTTTAAATATAAGGATAGGCTTCTCAGCTTCTCACATTTGTATTAATATGATTATTATTGTTCCTAATATTTTCGAGATCAGCTCCTTGACATGGAAAACAGTAGGAAAAGCTTCTTTTGTAACTTGTTTATATTGTCTGTTCAAATCCCCGCCAGCAAGGTTGCATCTAAACAGTTTAATATAGTCTAAAACCATAGATTAATAACAAAACAGATAGAACACTAGATGACGTCTTTTCAAAATTTAGGGGTTTTTCGTCCACGTTAACCCTGAAGCAGAAGCCCAAAGGAGGCATGCCGCGTTGAATTACAAGACAGAGCGAGCATGCGCGTAACACCTTTGGGCTTTTGCCTCAGGGTTATTGTGAACCGAAAACCTCGAAATCTTGAAAAGACGACATGTAGAGATATCTGTATTGTTATTAATCTATGTCTGAAACAATTACAACTTACATTATTGTTTTTTTAAAATAGTAAAATATGCGACATCATCGGCACACTCTCAATTTCTATTTCCCTGTATCTTTTTGATCCAATGTTGTATGAACTATCAATTCTGTTAGATCAAATAATCTAAGTTTGCAATATCAAAGGTTTTTATTATCAGGTTTACACCACCACCTTTACCATTAAGATTCCGCAACTTCTTTTGTTTTCAAGCTATCCTGAGATGAAATTTTATAAACTTAAACCCGAGTGAAACCCAGAGTTTGGCTCAGATAGAACACAAGTCAGGATTAGCTCTGATTCGACCAATTAGAAACTGTAAATAAAACTTTATCTCTGTAATCTATATATGTACAATGTACATATATAACTCCATTGAACCCATATTGTGAATAGCTTTACTACGTTATATGTAACAATGCATAACTTGTGATTACATCTATTAAACTTAATCTTTAATATACTCAGTTGGTATAGCTACTCCATATGTATTATGGCGAGAGAGTAATCGTTCCTCGTTTGAACAAACGAGTTGGGGAGATCACACCCATTGGTTTGGCAATTGATAGTTTACAAGCTAGTGTCAGTGTTGACATTGATAGCTGACGAGATCGTACCCATTGGTTTGGCACTGATTGTTTACAAGATAGTGTCCGTGTTGACATCAATAGCTGACAAGATCATGCCCATTGCATGGTTTGGCATTGATAGTTTACAAGTTAGTGTCCATGGAAACATCGATAGCTGACTAGATTTTGCCCATTGGTTTGGCATTGATAGTTCACTAGCTAGTGTCCATGTTGACATCAATAGCTGAGGAGATCATGCCCACTGGTTTGGCACTGATAGTTTACAAGCTAGTGTCCATGGAAACATCGATAGCTGACGAGATTGTTCCCATTGGTTTGGCATTAATAGTTTACATGCTAGTGTCCATGTTGACATCGATAGCTCAGGAGATCGTGCCCATTGGTTTGGCATGGATATTTTACAAGCTAGTGTCCGGGTTGACATCAATAGCTCAGGAGATTGTGCCCATTGGTTTGGCATTGATAAAACAACTACTGGAAACTTATGAAGTTTCGAATAGTTCAAAACTGTATTCCGGAAAAGTTTGCTTTTTAAAAATATATTGCGAAGTTTTAATCCTGGGGGCAAAAATAAGCATAAAAAATGTGTTCAACCACATCTGTGCCTTGATTAGAGAAAATACTAGCATGGTAGTGGAGATAAATAGTGACAAGAACTAAGACTGAATCTCAAGAGATTAGTAAAACAACCAGAATTCTCATTTTAAAATAATTTTAGATTATTTCTACTTTTTCGAATTTCATTGTTTACCAAAATATTTTTGGAATTCAGCTAGATTTTATAAATATTTAATCCTAGATTCAACAGAATGAGAAAATGCCGTCATGAATGCGAATTCAAAAATTAAACCACACATTTCAATTTAAACATGCATTAGTAAGTTATGTAAACAAAGTATAATGTAATAATTACAAACATCTAAAAACATCAAGTCCCTCATCTAAACTTTAAACTAAAAAAATTGCAAGTATTATTGAAATTTTTTTATATGTTTTTAATTATAATTCCTCTATTTAAAGAACTATTGAGAAGAACAAACAAAGTTTTGAATTTCTAATACCTACCCGGGTAGCATAAATCATACTTAGCGTAAAATCAAAACTAGAGTAGCTACGAGTCGTGCCACTAATGTCGTAAAAAATCATATCATTCTTTGAAAAACGTATGTGGTTTTTATGTGATTTGTGTGTTGCTAAGAACATTTTTGTGAGTATTACTCTCTCGAGAACTGAAGTGAAGTGAAGGGAAGAATTTTTTATCAAAAAAAAATATTGTATACAAAATGGAATGTATATAAAAGTGATAATATAATGTCGACAATACATCACTTTTACAATTTTAATCAAACATTTTGAAAAATTCTGGAAAGACGATAAAAATTTATTATAATTTTACTGGAAAATAAATTTACAGATGATACCAAACGTGTCAGAGATGAAATCAAAAAAAAATATCAAAATCATTTTGAATAAAAGTTTTGTCCATTTTGTAAAATAGTTTTGAAGTGTTGAATACTGTTGGATAGTTCTGGGCAGAAAGTTTTCATGTAAATAAAGAAACAAGGGACAAGAGACAGAAGGACAGGGGGACAGAAGGACAGGGGGACAGAAGGACAGGGGGACAAGGGGACAAGGGGCAAGGGGTAAGGGGCAATAAAACAAGAAATCAGGGGACAAGGAAGCAAAGAAACAAGTGGACAAGGAAACAAGGGACAAGTAGACAAGGAGACAAATAAAACAAGGGGACAGAGCGACAAGGAAACAAGTACACAAGGAGACAAGTAAACAAGCGGAAAATGAAACAAGGGGATAAGGAACTATTTATACTATTTATAAACCTTGGTAGAGCGCAGAATTCCTTTCTATCTAAACTATATATAAACCTTGGTTGAGCGCAGAACTGTATTCCTTATTATATCTATTATGAATCGCTGGCAACTCTTATAACTATATAACCTTGGTATATAAACTATATATAAAACTTGGTAGAGTGGAGAATTGCATTCCTACCTAAACTATATAAACCTTGGTAAAGTGCAGAATTGCATTCCTACCTAAACTATATATAAACCTTGGTAGAGTAGAGAATTGCATTCATACCTAAACTATATAAACCTTAGTAGAGTACAGAATTGCATTCCTACCTAAACTATATAAACCTTGGTAGAGTGGAGAATTGCATTCCTACCTAAACTATATATAAACCTTGGTAGAGTGGAGAATTGCATTCCTACCTAAACTATATATAAACCTTGGTTGAGTGCAGAACTGTATTCCTACCTAAACTATATAATCCTTGATAGAGTGCAGAATTGCATTCCTACCTAAACTATATAAACCTTGGTTGAGCGCAGAACTGTATTCCTTATTATATCTATTATGAATCGCTGGCAACTCTTATAACTATATAACCTTGGTATATAAACTATATATAAAACTTGGTAGAGTGGAGAATTGCATTCCTACCTAAACTATATAAACCTTGGTAAAGTGCAGAATTGCATTCCTACCTAAACTATATATAAACCTTGGTAGAGTAGAGAATTGCATTCATACCTAAACTATATAAACCTTAGTAGAGTGCAGAATTGCATTCCTACCTAATCTATATAAACCTTGGTAGATTGCAGAATTGCATTCCTACCTAAACTATATATAAACCTTGGTAGAGTGCAGAATTGCATTCCTACCTAAACTATATAAACCTTGGTAGAGTGCAGAATTGCACTCTTCAGGAGGAATATAACAGGATATCAGGATATCAGGACTCTGCAACCGACGGTTCTAGGTTTTAAATTTCACAGTTACGACCTTGTTCAAAATCGATTTGATGCAGATATATATAAAATTTTGTAGAATTTTGAGTTTTGTAAAATATTTTTTAAATGTTTGAGCAAAAATGGATTTCTTTAAATAAATAAAATATATTGTTGATGCAGGATGCATTGGTTAAAAGTTTTAAACAAAACCATCTGTAAAATATTTTGAAATTATGAAAAGAAAAAACTTCAAAGTGTCCCCTGCGGTCTTTTTAGACCTCTTGCCTTGAGATTAATAATGTTGAAATGATTTACATTAAAAATTTCAGTGAAAAATATAATTTTTCAAATTTTCATATTTTTAGTTTCTTTCTTTATTTGTTTGTAATCAGCATTAAACTTTAAATTATTCCCACTAAAGCATACAATTAATTCTCTCTGTACTAATTTTGCTAAAATATATGAAATTTTAGTCATTTCCTTTAATTCGTGAAAATTTCAATGTTGTGTATTGTATATTATACTCTAAAGTAAGGTTTTGTGACAAGTTCATTTAAAAAGACATCATCAAAGACTAAAATACACGAGGGTGACAAGCCACGTTAGACTGAAGTAAATTGGAGGTAAATCTTATCTGTTTTCAATCATAACTACTCTTAAATTACAGTTTTAGAGAGAGAGAAAAATATTTTTTATTTTTAAAATGTAACGTTGCGTTTTTCATACTTAGAATAAAAACTAGATAATCCAAGATGTCACAAAGTCGTACTAGTAATGTCAATTTATCTTGACCTTCTCATTCTGTTTAGCTTGCAGTGAAGCTACAGATTCTGCTTTTCCAGAACGTCTTTGTGAAGGAAAACTTCATACCATAAAATTAGTGAAGGAAATGCAATTATTTTTGTTTGAAAGATTTCTATCTTGAGAAGAAAATAGACGACCCAAAACAATTAAATAGGGATTTTTTGCCCATTTATTGTTTAGGCTTATTCAAATTTGGAAATGCTTCTTTATTTTGCAAAGCTTTGCAAATACATTAATCCGCAATACATAGCAGAAGAAAAAACACACTTTTTGAAATGCTCCTATTTCAAGGAACTTGCTGTTTCTAGAAGGGTTTAAATGTTTTATGGGAATTTTTATCTATGTTTGTTTGTGTTATGTTTATGAATGTTTGTATTCCCAACACCAATTTGTGTTCCTAACACTACCTTGTGTTCCCAACACTATACCTTGTGTTTCTAACACTACCTTGTGTTCCCAACACTATACCTTGTGTTTCTAACACTACCTTGTGTTCCCATCACTATCTTGTGTTCCCAACACTATCTTTTGTTCCTAATACTACCTTGTGTTACCACCACTACCTTGTGTTCCCACCACTACCTTGTGTTCTCACCACTACCTTTTGTTCCCAACAATACCTTGTATTTTCAATACTACCTTGTGTTCCCATAACTACCTTGAGTTCCCAACACTACCTTGTGTTCCCACCACTACCTTGTGTTCCCAACAATAACTTGTGTTTCCATAACCACCTTGTGTTCCCGAAACAACCTTGTGTTTCCAAAACTACCATATGTTCCCAACACTATACCTTGTGTTCCCAACACTTTTTTGTGTTCCCAAAAATATTTTGTGTTTCCAACACTACCTTGTGTTCCCAATACTACCTGTGTTCCTAACAGTACTTTGTGTTCCTGACGATACCTTGTGTTCCCAACAATACCTTGGGATCCCAATAATACCTTGTGTTCCCAACAATAACTCCGTCCGGATTGAGCATTGGAACAATCTTGAATATGAAGAGGTTCCTGAGGTTCCTGGCGGCCTCTGATCCCCCTGTCAGATAGTGGAGGACACCACGCATGACCCATGAGCTAGGACTCTCTCCAGGATGTACCCTGCCGGTAAGAACAACAATCTGCTTGTTCTTATCTTCTATAGGAGAATCCTAGTACACAGTACACATGCTTTTAATCCAAGCAAGAAAAAAAAACTACTTTTGCGTTAGTGTCTTAATAAGGTGTGCTGAATGTAATTGAACATTAACAAAAACAGCGGATCCAATAAAGCCTAAATCTGTTTAAACGAAAAAGAGATTTTGTCATTTTCAAACTGAACAGGGAAATGGTTCATTCACATGCCATAGAATTTACGCGGGGCGCGCGCATTCGTGAAATACAGGAGGCACGAGGAATCGTGCATTTTTCTATTAACCTCAATTATATCTATCTATAACTTTTATACTTAAATGTTTAAAATGAAGTACTGATATTTCAGAGGTTGTTGAAAATTATGCTACCAGAGCCAGAATTTAATGAATGAATCCACCAAAACCCGGTCTCAATTAAGTGCTGTATTAAATCTTGAAACATTGAATACAATTTTAAGAGAAACCAACTGTACTTAAGCCGCTTCTTGAATTTAAGCAGCGGCTCAAATTCTTTAAACTCGGCCTCAGTCCATTTCAATGCTTGATTTTTTATTGTTTGTTTGGAAACATAAAATGCAATTAGTTCCGGTTAATTTCCAAACCAATACTTTACTTCCGGATAGAGAACAAACTGGGAAATCGATAAATAAATAATTTTCTATTTTTACAATTTTAATTTCTTTAGAATAGAATTAAAAATGTGTTCCTGATTTGTTATAGTAAGTAATGGAACGTTGTTCCCTGCCAGGGTTTGACAGAGGACCTTGCTGGAGCAAAACCTGGAACGGATTGGATCCATCATAATTTTCTCCAGGTCCTCAACCATATCAGAGTATCTAGAGTCCCATCAGGAATAAGAAAGAAATTTTCTATTCCGTATATCGTAGTAGTATAATGGTGTAAACCTTTGAGATTTTAAGCTTAGAATTATATTATTTGATCAAACAGAACACATAGTTTGACATATCTAAGGTCTGCGACATTGGGTTGCAAAGATATATAGATAAGAAAATCTGAGCTTGTGGCAAAAGATAACAAAAGACAAAGTAAATAACATAAAAATTTCTAGTTTTGTTGCTAGTCTTGATAATTGAGTCATGATGAGTATAAATTCTTATTAAATATTCTAATGCAAGGTAGATCAGGTTTTATGCATTAAATTGAAATTATGTTGCATCTGAATGATGTGCACTTTTCAGTGCAACATAGAAAAGGATAGAGATAAGGATATAGATACTTGTACATTGCAGTTAAAGAGACTGTTCGTGTAATTTACAGTGACCCTCCATGCAAAGTTGACAATGCCCGATTCACAACAGTACCATTAAAACCTTTATCTGATCAGAAATTTAAAAGATATTGTCACTTTTCTAGGGTTAAACGTTTTTAAATCCTAGATTTTTCTGCAGTAGAAATGAGCAAGTCGCATTTGTAGTGAAACCCCCAATTGATAATAATCAGTTTTCCAAATGATAAAAATGTATATCTATCTCATGCTTGAAAAGACAAAACTTTTATGGGTACAATTGTGAATCGAGCATTTCCATAATTGCCAGGATCCTCACTTGAAATTACGCTTAGAATCCCTTTAAGAAGATAAGTAGGAGGATATTGGTGTTTGCAGTTAAGAAGATAAGTAGAAGAATATGGGTGTTTATAGTTAAGAAGATAAGTAGAAGAATATGGGTGTTTTATAGTTAAGGAGATAAGAAGAAGGATATTGATGTTTGTAGTTAAGAAAATAAGTAGAAGGATATTGATGTTTGTAGTTAAGAAGATAAGTAGAAGAATATGGATGTTTGTATAGTTAAGAAGATAAGTAGAAGAATATGGGTGTTTATAGTTAAGAAGATAAGTAGAAGAATATGGGTGTTTTATAGTTAAGGAGATAAGAAGAAGGATATTGATGTTTGTAGTTAAGAAAATAAGTAGAAGGATATTGATGTTTGTAGTTAAGAAGATAAGTAGAAGAATATGGATGTTTGTATAGTTAAGAAGATAAGTAGAAGAATATGGATGTTTGTAGTTAAGAAGATAAGAAGAAGGATATGGTTGTTTATAGTTAAGGAGATAAGTAGAAGGATATGAATGTGTGTAGTTAAGAAGATAAGAAGAAGGATATTGATGTTTGTAGTTAAGAAGATAAGTAGAAGGATATGGATGTTTTTAGTTAAGAAGATAAGTAGAAGAATATGGGTGTTTATAGTTAAGAAGATAAGTAGAAGAATATGGATGTTTGTAGTTAAGAAGATAAGTAGAAGGATGTTGATGTTTGTAGTTAAGAAAATAAGTAGAAGGATATGGATGTTTATAGTTAAGAAGATAAATATAAGAATATGGTTGTTTATAGTTAAGGAGATAAGAAGAAGGATATTGATGTTTGTAGTTAAGAAGATAAGTAGATGGATATGAATGTTTGTAGTTATAGAAGATAATTAGAAGGGTATGGATGTTTCCAGAATATATTTCCTTGGAAAGCATATCGTTTAAACTGTAGTATATTGCTAGGATGAAAGTAAAATGAAAAAGGAAAAAGAAACATTTTCTAGGTTTTCTACTTGAACCTTTGCACAGTTTATCATCTTTGAATTCTGCAAACCTTGCTTTTAGAATTTTACTTACATCGGAAAAAGCATCTGAGTACATCAAGGTTCAGGATAGAATTGTTTGTAATTTTCTTTTTTAAAGGGACTGTCGGCGTAATTTTATGTGACACTCAATTTTAGATTTACATGCCTGATTGACAACGGTGCCCTTTCAAATTTTAATCTGGATAACGGAAAGAATGACATCGTCGTTTTCTGTTAAACAAAAAAAAATATATTCTGTCAATTTACTTATTTGTCTAGCCTGCACATATTCACAAAGGAATTGAGCCTTTGCCACAAACCTGATATGGTGTAAACCTTTGATATTTTAAACTTAGATTATTTATTTAGTAGGATTTATATTTTGAAATATCTAAGGTCACTGGGTTGCATAGATAGGGATTATAAAATAAGAGTTTGTGGCAAAAACTTAGTTCCTTTCTGTTTCTAAAATCTCTCATATAACTCCAATATGAATATTTCTATTCCATAATGTTCCTGTAGGGATAGCAATGTGCCAGATAAACTTCGTCCTCACTATGCGGAAACATCAAGGAGAAGGACATAACAAACCGTCCTGGTCCTCCTGTCCCTGAAGAGACGTCCTTATAATATCTGATTTTATCTCCGGTCCTAGTCCAACCTACCCTTGTCCTCTTGGCCTCTTTAGTAGAGTAGAGGACGGGTTTCATCCCGACCGAGTACTGTGAGTCCGACTTGGAGAAGTTAACGATAGAGAACTTGTATTCAAAATCCTTTCTCATGTTTCCGACCTTAAAGTAAAGATTGGCGCGTTCGTTTTATCAAGTTCGTTCAAACGATTTAGAAATTATTCTTTAACGGTCTGACTTATCCAAAAATGAGAATGATCGTTAACTTCAGTGGTAGGCGATTATATCAATACAATGAAGATGACTTTAGATTTTAGTTTTGATTTATATCAAGTTGTTAAACATTATGGATAAACATAAACAGAGAAGTCAAGAGAAGCTGTCAATTAAAAAAGCTTTTCTTTGAATACTTCCAAATTTGTAATTAGAAAAAAGCATTTAAACAAAACGTTTAAAAAAGAGTTTTCTTTATTTTATTGATATAATTGCCTACCACTGTTTTATAAATCATCCGTTTTTGTTTGTTCTTTCGTTTGTTTTCTAAAAGCGATCGTTTTTGTATTTCTCTGAACGATCCAATTTTCGTTCTTCATTCGTTAATCTTTCTGAACAACACCATCACGTTCGTTTTCAAATATTTTGTTCGTTCACAAAAACGACGTCCATCTTTACCCTAAAGTAGAACCACTGGCAGTGTTTAGTTGTATACAAATCAGGACGAAGATGCAGTTCGTAATAGCTCTCCGTGATTCTCACAGCTTTCATCAGGTTTCCGGACTCAAACCTGCTCTCGAACACGAGGCTGTCCTCTGCTATATCCTTGGGTAGAGGCCCTTTCAACCGGTTCTTAAGCTTAGATTCTCCCAGGAGGGTTTTAGTAACAAACTTGAGATCACATCTAGGGTTGTAATTATAAACAACATTTCCGAAATCCTCGCCCAGGGGTTGGATTTTCTGCTCCCGCCCTTAAACATTATAAAGAATTTGAAATAAAAAAGGAATCGAGTCTTTTCTACAAACTCAAATTTATATTAACCTTTTGGTGTAGACCATTGATATTTCAAACTTAGAATATTTGATCTAACAGAATTTATATTTATCAAATAACTTAAGTCTACAATATCGGGTTGCACAGATATTGGGATTAGAAAATCAGAGTTTGTGGCAAAGACTCAATTCCTTTGTGAAAAATTGACTTAAAGTTGTTAAAATAAAATAATATGAAATAAAAATTTTAATTGAATACTTTCATTTTTCATGAGTTTTGAATATTTGTCACCAAAAAAAAATTTTTTTTGTACCTGTTGGATCATAAAACATTTCTATTTTGTTTGGGAGACCTTCAACATGAACAATACTATCGGGAAGAAACTAAAAAAATACAGGGTGAGTCAAAAAAAGTGTGATTAGAAATTTTCCTAAAATAAGACCAGAACTGAAAATTGCGAATTTTTTATTACAATTTTGCAATTTTTTGTGATTCTGTGATTCAATCTTTATAATTTTTATAATTTGATATAAATAATATATGTACACATTTTCTGACTTTTGATTTTGAGAAAAAAGGTTCGCGGATGGCCATTTGAGTAACTAAAAAAAATAAAAAATTCTAAAAATATTGAAAAAAATCCATACAGGAGAGTTGAAAAAAATGTACAATTTTGCAACAGTCACCGCTAATCACACTTTTTTTTGACTCACCCTGTATATTTTATCAAAATAATTTAATTTTTACAGATATTTAAATGCATTAATCGCAGTTTCTAATTGAAATTAATATTCCAAAAAATCTAAAAATATCACTTTCAGTTCTTGGATTCACTTAAAGAGACTGTTATAATTTCAAGTTTTCAATATCAACTGACCATCCAGGCAAAGAGGTGAATATCCGATTTACAAAGATACCATTTAATTCGTTGACTTTATCATAGTGTTTCTCTAAAAAATCGTAGTGTATTAAATTAGCTAGCGTTACAGTGCAGTCAACTCGGACGTTACATATATATTTCAATGTCAAGGCGCGGATTTCCAAAATGTAAATGAAAATATCTATATTCTGAAATTTCTGGAAAGTAAATGATAATATTTCTTAAATATAAAATAGCGTCAGCTAAACTTTTCAAAAACTACGATCAGTTAGAAGTTTAGAGGACACGATTTTCAGTCAAAGGGTATTGTTGTGAATCGGATAAATGTTTAAAGGGTATTGTTATGAATTGGATAAATGTTTAAAGGGTATTGTTATGAATTGAATAAATGTTTAAAGGGTATTGTTGTGAATTGAATAAATGTTTAAAGGGTATTGTTGTGAATTGAATAAATGTTTAAAGGGTATTGTTGTGAATTGGATAAATGTTTAAAGGGTGTTGTTATGAATTGAATAAATGTTTAAAGGGTATTGTTGTGAATTGAATAAATGTTTAAAGGGTATTGTTGTGAATTGGATAAATGTTTAAAGGGTATTAATTAGATAAATGTTTAAAGGGTATTGTTGTGAATTGGATAAATGTTTAAAGGGTATTGTTGTAAATTGGATAAATGTTTAAAGGGTATTGTTGTGATTTGAATAAATGTTTAAAGGGTATTGTTGTGATTTGAATAAATTTTTAAAGGGTATTGTTGTGAATTGAATAAATGTTTAAAGGGTATTGTTGTTAATTGGATAAATGTTTAAAGGGTATTGTTGTGAATTGAATAATTGTTTAAAGGGTATTGTTGTGAATTGAATAAATGTTTAAAGGGTATTGTTATGATTCGAATAAATATTTAAAGGGCATTGTTGTGAATTGGATAAATGTTGAAAGGGTATTGTTATGAATTGAATAAATGTTTAAAGGGTATTGTTATGAATTGGATAAATGTAAAGTCTGATAAAATTGTATATTCTCTTTAAACAAAAAGAAAAATAACTAATTTAGTTTAGCATGAAATATTTTTTGTTTTTCATTTTTTTTATATAAATTAAAACAGTGCAAAAGTTCGTGTAGTTTGCACTGAAAGAATTTCTCTTTTTATAAAAGATAATCAATCACCAATATATATATACAGACTACACTAGCAAATTTACAAGGAGTATCAACTTTATAAACAAAATTTCTAAAAAAAGTTTTTTAATTTAATAAATATTTTCTGCCCAATGGAAGTAAAATATTTACATTCTTTTGTTAAGCTTTGAAATCTCCATGGCTACAAATGTTAACACGGTCCAACATTTCGGAACGAAGGATGTGAACTGGCAATCCTTTGAAAATAAGCCAAGCCTAATTAGTGAATAATATTGATAAATGTGTGGATCGATCTGTGTAACATTTTCCAATTGCAGTGTTTACAATGAAATATGCGACTTTTTTGACTAATTCAAACTTTAAATCTAAAGGTCAAAAACTCTTATTTGGATTTTTGTCTAAATATTATCATTTAATATAGAAAATATAGTTTGTTTGTAGCAAAAAGCGTGTGATTTTTATGTTATGTAAACTTGCAGTACGTTGTTCGTCATGAATGATTTAATGTTTCAAACTTAGACATGAGATTGTTCATCGAATACTTAACATGATTAGCTCAAATCATGCGACATTATTAAATTACACTGTAAAATTTGGGCATAGATAAATTAACTGCGTTATAATCCTTTAAATATTTATCTTAAGTTTTAACTGTACGATAAATGCATAATACGATGGTCTTAATCATGTGATATCAATAACATCGTAGCAATTGAATTACGTCAATTCCTAAGCTATTGAATAGTATCAGTTGATTGAGACTCTGCTTTTGATAACGTTATCAGAAGCCTAAGTAACGTTGGAAGACAGCTTCGGTTCTCGTTGAAACATACAAGCGGAGATCTTTGTTATTTGATTTAGCATTAAATCAATAGTAAGCTTGAAAATGGAACTTTTGGTACTCGTTGAATTATACAAGTTAAGAAATTGCCTGTTAGCAATTTCATTGGACTGTGTGTCCTTTAGAACCAGGGAATTAAGCCTGGTTGAGAAATTGCCAGTGCGCAATTTCATTGGACTGTGTGTTCTTTAGGACTAGGAAGTTAATCCTGGTAGCAATTTCATTGGACTGTGTGTCCTTTAGAACCAGGGAATTAAGCCTGGTTGAGAAATTGCCAGTGACGCAATTTCATTGGACTGTGTGTTCTTTAGGACTAGGAAGTTAATCCTGGTTGATACTTGGACTGTGTGTCCTTTAGAACCGGGTAGTTAAGCCTGGTTGAGATATTCCCTTGTTGGCATTTAGAATCAAAATACTTGTTCTGGTTGATCTTGGTAACGAGTAGACCTGGATAGATACGTCTCAAGTAAATTGTTATGGAGTAGGTATTTGTTACATATTAATCAAATGATTTTGCAATGCAATAAACAAGTTTACTGTTGCAGAAACCTTGAACTCTTTGTAAAGTCAGTTTGAAGTTTAAACCTAATTTTTTGTGGATAACCTTTACATATTATTAGTACTTTTTACTTCTCATTCAATAATTCTTGACAGCACAGGAAGAAATAGATTTGTTGACAGAAAATCAAAAAACCTTGTGTTTGTACTGCATTAATCAATCAAACATGTGTTTGTATTACAGCAATACAACAAACTTTTGTTTTTATTACATCAATACAACAAACTTGTGCTTGTATTACAGCATTACAACAAACTTGTGTTTGTACTACATTTATCCAACAAACTTGTGTTTGTATTACATCAATACAACAAACTTGTGTTTGTACTACATTTATCTACAACAAACTTGTGTTTGTACTACATTTATCCAACAAACTTGTGTTTGTATTACACCAATACAACAAACTTATGTTTGTATTACATCAATACAACAGACTTGTGTTTGTATTACATCAATACAACAAACTTGTGTTTGTATTACATCAATACAACAAACTTGTGTTTGTATTACATTAATACAACAAACTTGTGTTTGTATTACATTAAACTTATAAAATAAAGTAACAGAAAGACTTGTGTTTTCTATCACTGCAGATATATAATCAAAACTTCTTTTATACTTTTATAATTCATAATTCAGGGTGAAGGATTACAAGCTTTCGCCATTAAATATTATTTTTACTAGTTTCTAGAACTTCATAGCTGTTGTCAGAAAAAAAAAACTGAGTTCTTGGCCACAAACTTTGATTTTTCAATCCCATTACGTTGTATCAGAACTGAAAGCTTTAGAATTGTTGATACTGAGATCAATGCTTGATCTCCGCTTTATGTTTGTATCCAGAATCCCGAACAACCAAACAGCGGGAAACTTGAAATTTTGCGCGCCATTTAATGAGAGAACTCGTATTGCATTGTCAGTATTAAGTAGTGATATCCAAAGAGAGGGACTTAAGAGCGGAATAAGCAGAAATCAAATGGATATTTAGATTAGGTGAGCGGTATTAACTGTAGGGATTCCAGCGAACAAATGAGAAAAATGAGAACATTTTCGTTCCTATTTCGCTTCCATTTCGCATTTTTTCGTGAAAACTAATTAAACAGATTAAAGCGGACGAGATGAGAAAAATGCGAAATTTTCACCAAACAAACTCACCTTTTCGCTTGCAACCCTAGTATTAGGGTATCCAATTCAAAAGCTGTCTGCAGCTTAGACCAAATATTTTAAGTTTGAAATATAAAAGGTTAATCAATTCTTGTTGCAAAGATATATGGATTATCAAATTTGAGTTTGTGTTAATGACTCAATTTCTTTGATTTAAAAAGGTACCAAAAACTGGTTGCATGGCAATTTCCTTGCTGGAAAAATATATTAGACAATAAGTTATGGAGTAATTTCTGTTTTTGTGCACAAACTCAGATTTTCTAAACCCAATATTTTTGGACCCCTATGTAATAGACCACTAATATCTCAAACAATGGATTATATTAGATAAAAAAGCTTGAAATATTAAATGTTTACACCGCCAGGTTGCAAGGAATTTGAGTTTGTGCAAAAGACTCAGTTTTTTTCATGATTAATATTAATTTGTTAAAAATTAAATTTTAGAATTTAGAAGATTTTAAGAAATGTTATTATTATGGCGTTTTCGTCATAATAATTTTGTTTTGACCTTGTTGTTAATATGGGCATTGGGCATGGGACTCTTCCGAGGGGAGGAAGGCCAGCCGCAACAATTTCTAGTAAGAGCCACATTCTCCTCATTTTCTCGTTCGAGCCACCTCGAAATCCTGGTCCTTCGAATATAATCTTTTTATTGTGTTTAATTCTCCAAGATAAAACATTTTTTTAAGAATCGGGTCACGTTAGAGCATAACGAAATATTAAATCTTTATAAATCGAAAGAAATACTTTCAATAGAATTTAAGTTTTTGAGTACAATGTCCTGAAAAATATTCACCTTTATTACTCGCATTTTTCAGATAATTTAGGAGTAGAATGCCGCAAATAATTCCAAGTTTATAGAACTTTAATATTTTTTGTTAATTTAAGCGAAATCCATAGAATTTTTTGGGGTATATTCCACGGGAAAAATTATAGGCAGAGGTATGCCAAATATTTTGCAATTTATTTTGTATCACGAAAGTTTGCCATTACGGAGGCAGAAGAGATTTAAGTTTCACCTAAATAAAGTTTAACATCATTCTCACGGCTTTGAAGATTTAAACATGATGTAATCATTGCAATACTTTAGTCTATCCATATGTTATACCCTAACGTGGCCTGATTTTTAAAAGATAGCTTTATCTTCAAGATTTAGAAACTTAAAAACGCATAATGAGCGAAGGACGAGGATTTCGAGGTGGCTCGGACGAGACAATGAGGAGAATGTGGCTCGGACGAGAAATTGTTGTGGCTGGCCTTCCTCCCCTCCTCTTCCTCTTGCTATGTTTGTTTTCATCACGAAGACTATTTAGAAGTTTACTTTGATGTGAATTTTAGGTGATCTCCCAACTAAATGAAAAATGTTTTCTAGAATAAAAAATATACAAGATAAAAGCATTTATAATCTTTTGAAAACTAATTTTAAAAAGCTGAAAAAAAGAAAATTGAAAATAAATTTTCTACCGCTTCTAAAAATTCCATTCAATATTGTGAATGTGAACTCTCAATATGTGAACAAAAATCTAAAATATGCAAAGTTTGTATTAATAGATTAATAACTGTTATTTTATCTTTTAAATATTTTGGACATTAAATTTTTTTTTTCATCTAACTAATTTTTGGTAGTAACCTTAAATATTTCAATGTTTGAATTCTGTTAGATAAAAACTCTAAGTTTGAAATATCAAAGGTTTACACCATCAGGTTGCAAAGATAAAGGGATGAGAAAGTTAAAAGATAGGTTTATAGAGGGAAATTAAAATTGGTATCTTAAAAAGTTCGAAATTTATTATATCAAAAATCCACAATTAAAAAACAGAAAATTCCGCGAAAAGTTTTGTATAAAGCGGCGATTACGATGAAAAATGGCGCCTTGAATTGAAAAGCAACAGTTTTTATAGCTAAAAGTTGAACAAGAAACGATCCCTAGTATTCTATATTTAGATTATTCTTGTCAAACATAAAGTTTTGTTTGAATGGGTGACAAATATCAAATTATTTAAATATCATGTCTTCAAGTTTAATCTTGTTTTATATTTTTATTCTATATTTAGCAACAGCTCCCCCCCCATTAATCATTTAAAAGTAAACAAATATCAAAACTTAAAGGAACTTCAGGCGTAATTTAAAGTGACCCTCCATGCAAAATTCGGAATGTCCAATTTCCAACGGTACCCTTTAAACCTTTAAATTATCATCCAGACTAGAGAACTATAAATCTCTCAAAAAGTGTTTAAATTGCAGTAAAAAGGCAGTGTACGCTAGAATATGCAGTGTGAATTTGATTAAATTCAAGGTTGTGGTTGCTGACTCTCGATGCGCTCCAAAGTACGGGAAATGTCGTCTCCAAATTAATGGACAGTTAAAATCCGCAAATGACGTCACAGTTAATGGGTTTGTGGGTACCAAATGAGCCGGCTTGAGCACCCGAAAACAGTCTCTTAGTCAAAAGTTATAATAAAGGTGATATTGTGAATCCGACACGACACTCTACAAATGGAGTGTCACTTGAAATTCCCTTTAATATTACAAATTTTGTTGTGAATTATATCTTGATTTATTAATTTGTTTAAACTAGACCAAGGTTATAAATGTTTTATTGTCTGTGGGAATTCTTGTTTTATTAAAATGTCGGTGGGGATCTATATAGAGGTTTATAATTCACCTTGATTTAATTTCTAGGTTTTATAACAATTATTATGCAGAAAGGAATTAATGCAGTGAGCTCATCAGAAAAATAAGTTTTAAAAAATGCTCGAAACTGACAGTTAAATTCTAATTCTAAACCAAATTAAGGACGTTCCACTGGTTCTACCCAGTTTCCCAAATTAAAGCTTGAGGCAAATTGGTCTCGGGGTACATGAGTTATGATCGGACATCCAAACATCCAAACAGACTCCTTTTATATAGATGATACTTTAAATCAAGGGCTTTCGAATATATTTGATTTACAAAAGTAGAGCTGGGATTTATCTTAATTGTTGAATAATTTACTTACAGTAAGAAGGGTTTTCCTACAATTAAAGCATGTTCTTTCATAATGAAAAAACTTATCGTTCCTTTAAAAAATGTTGATAGCAAAGAACATTCTTGAGTTCTGAAATTGTTCTAACTAATTACTGCAGGTCCCTGGAAAACTTCGTATATCTGCAATAATTCCTAAACTCTGTAACTCTGTAATTGAATTGAATTCCAAGTATTTGAAAATATTTGAACTCAGTTCTTTTGACAAAACACATGATTCTTATCTTTTAATAACTGGAGATAAGAACCTTTAGTTATTTTAAATTGGTTTCTGCAATTTCTTTTCTTGGTGAAAATAAAAGTTGAAAAACATTTTGTAAGCAGAAAAATACTTTTGATCTGTAGCTAAAAGCTCGGGGAGGAGAAATTTATAAACAAAGTGGTTTCACAATTGGTTCAAAAAAATGTATTTTGAAGTGAGAATTTTTGTGTAAAGAAATAAAAAGAGATAGAAAATCAGAGTTTGTGGTAAAAATGAAATTCCCTTTAAAAGTGCCCACATTCCAAATTGAATATCGAGATCAAGTGTTATAGATTAAAGATATTCCACGGCAAAGATCAGACCTCAGTTTACACTATACTGAAAATTCAATTAAAGGTTGCCTAAGCTTCAAAAGAAGTACAAATGTTTGAAAAACCTAAAAACGAAACAAAAAATGATTTTAAAATATAGATAATAATTAATACCTGACATTGAACCGGCCAAAACACTGATTTATTGTTTTGTAGAACTTGCTCCTGGGTTCGCAGATTCCTGCAGATACGGATATTCTCCTCTCCATCCGAACCTGAACAGAATATTGATATATTGATATATTTATATTAATAACCTATATTCTGGGTTCTCAGGTTCCTGGAGATACGGATAGTCTCCTCTCCGTCTGAACCTGAACAGAATATTGATATATCGTTATTCAGAACCTGCTCTAGGGTTCTCTGGTTTCTGGAGATACGGATATTCTCCTTTCCGTCCGAACATGAACAGAAAATTGATATGTTGTTATTCAGAACCTACAGTTCTATAATATTAATCTATTGTCCAGGATATATTAAAGGTCTACGACATAAGGCTGTATGGGATATCAGGAGTAGAAAACTTGAATTTACGTATATAGTTCTATAATAATAATCTATTGTCCAGGATATATTAAAGGTCTACGACATAAGGTTGCATGGTATATCAGGAGTAGAAAACTTGAATTTACATATACAGTTCTATAATAATAATCTATTGTCCAGGATATATTAAAGGTCTACGACATAAGGTTGCATGGGATATCAGGAGTAGAAACCTTGAATTTACATATACACTTCTATAATAATAATCTATTGTCTAGGATATATTAAAGATCTACGACATAAGGTTGCATGAGATATCAGGAGTAGAAAACTTGAATTTACGTATACAGTTCTATAATAATAATCTATTGTCTAGGATATATTAAAGGTCTACGACATAAGGTTGTATGGGATATCAGGAGTAGAAAACTTGAATTTACGTATACAGTTCTATAATAATGATCTATTGTCTAGGATATATTAAAGGTCTACGACATAAGGTTGCATGGGATATCAGGAGTAGAAAACTTAAATTTGAGAAAAGTGATAACTCAGTTCCTATATACATTCTAAAATAAAAAAATAAAAACCTGAATCCAGGGATAGCGTGGGAGACAGTATTCTCCTGTCCTTATTCATCCTGAACCAGAACTCTTAAAATTATCTCAGGTTTTGTCAAGTTTCTATCTGGAAATTACAAGAAAAATTTAATTATATGAAATTTTTTTTGAAAATTTTTTACTTGATCAAAGATACAACGGGGTTGGACCTATAAAACTCATGAATAGGAAGAAGATTACTAGCTCTGATTTATTCATACGTCCAATGAGCATAAAATAGAGAAAATAAGCAGAATTTCACTTAAAGGGAGTGACCGACATCTTATGGTGCGTATGGTAGTTAAACTGAGAATTTAGTACTGTGGAGAATTTTTTTAAGGAGTCTTTGATTTCTGTAATGTTTCATTGTTCACAAAAATTTTATGTACAGATTTCCTCAAGTTTTATTGAAAATACGACATTGAAAGAATTTAAAGAAATCTGCTTGATTTATTGAGAAAATTTTAATCAATTAATATGTTCTTAAACAGCTAATTAGTTAACTGTCGATTTATTTTTCATTTGTTGTCGTCGTTATTTAATAGTTTAAAAATCGATTCTCAAAACGTAACCACCCAAATGGATGATTTTGAACGTCGACTTTGCGCTTAGACTCAGTAATTATAAATCATTAAAACGATTTATATGTTTTAAATGAATCCTAAAAAATTTCTCCGCAATACTACATTCTCAGTTCAACTAGAATACATTACCGGTCACTCCCTTTAAGTCCTTTCAATCTTGCATGGGTAGCATGCTATAAATACACGTCAGCCAAGAATAAACATTAAACATTCCCTGACATTTTTATTTCAGATTTATCACCAACACTTTTCACAAGGGAAGTATTTTGTTTTTTCAAATTTATGTTTTAGTGTCCAATTTATGGTAATGTTACATCGTCTATACGCAACATTCCCCCTTCTGAACTTCTGACCTACTAACTTTCCGACCTAATGCAATATCGGACCTACGCCAGCTGTTTATTGTTGTATTATTTGAGGGTTAGGTTAGGCTAAGACAATTTCTGGGCCGAACGCTGCGTCTAAGACAGCTGCTAGGGGGCCGAACGCCGCAGCTAGGACAGGCTAGGGAGCCGGGCGCTGAGTCCACAAGTCCATATCGCAGCTGTAAATCCACGTGCTAGTAGTTCGGATGTGTAGTATAGCGGATTTGATGTAGGTCAGAAGTGGAGTATAGAGGATTTGCGTAGGTCGAAAAATACACCACCCAATTTATAATGTAAGGATTAGAAATAGTTTACAACTATTAATGTCGTCGTTACAAAAACTTCAAATTTAACAGTTTATAAAAAGATACTAATTAAACAGTATGCATTAAAGTTTCGTACTTAGCTACGGATATTACCATGTTACTCACTTATAGTTTGATATCTTTTTAACTCATTTAAAAAAAGATTCAACATAACAAATTTTGCTTCTGAAATTCAAGCAACTTTATGAATTGACTTAACATGGATTCATGAAACTACAACAAACGCGTAAATAAAGATTTTCAAAAGAAAATAATCTAATATAAATATGAATTTATTTCATTTTTGTAAAACGTTGATAACAGACCACTGTAAAAATAGAAAAATAACAATTTGCTGGTAAATAAAATATTTTTTTCCTTCATCTAAAATAGGTTTAATTGGGAAAACTGTTGTTAATAGCCAGTAACTAAAATCACATTTATCCCTTTTCATTCTAGATTCTGGATATAATCATCCGAGCTGCGGCGTTTGTTTTTCTCTGTACAGCTTTGTTTATTTGAATTGTATCACAAGAAATCTTGCAGCTTTGGTTAACATGGTGCATACATGTTACACTAATATGTATTGGCCACTGTTCATTAAAATTTTTTGTACTTTTGTGTTTTAACATTAGTTTGCGTTATGTAATTTCAAGTAAGTGGTAGAATAAAGTTTGTGTTGTACACTCAGTACAAACAGATTTTAAGGGCCCCGCAATATTAGCCCGATTTCTTTGTCGAGCCAGTGGCGGATATAAGGGGGGTTATTGGGGTTATTTACCCCCCCCTAGAATCCTGGGGGTAAATTAGTAAACTCGTTTTTTCATTTAAAAATAATAGTTTTTTTTAAAAATCTTAGAAATATTTTCATTTTTCTGAACTATGCATCTTGGCATATTATTTCTGGTCTCTATTTTCATGTTTTGCAATTTTAGTAGTTTTGATGTCTGCTTATTTGTACCCAAAATCATGGTGAATGCCTAAAAAATGGCGAATAGTTTACTCCCATTTGCTGTGATTTAGCTGTGAAGTCGAAGCTAAATCCAACCTCAGCTGATATTTAGCTATGATTTAGCTCCAACTTCAGATCTAACCTAAGCTTCGATCTTGCTCTGATTTTGGACTAAAACGAACAGAAAATCAGCTAAGCTAGGAAGTCTCAGCTAAATCATAGCTAGAACCGGACAAAGCAATCGAACTATTATTTTTAAATACTTGGAACAAAAAAAGTCGTCGTCCAACTATGAGTTTGGGCAATAGTTTTTATATGAAGCTTTAACAAAAATAAACATTTTCCCCCGCTATGCTTGTACTCCTGCTCTCTAAATATCAAAGTTAAAAATTAAATATTTAATCTAAAACTAAATAAATTAATGTAACTCATTTAATATGTAACTCATCCCCCCGGACTTGAAGTTAACTTCCTTTTAGGAAAATATGTTTATATAAAATTGAATTTTGTGGGTTTTTAACATTATTTATACAGTTTAAACTTCCCCTGCACAGATAACATGATGTAGGAAAAATGTTAAGTTGGCGGAAAGTTATGTTAAATCTGGAGTTCAAAGTTTTTAATATTAAAGAAATGCACAATCAGACTTCCAAGATTTAAGGATCAGAAAATTTAAATCTAAGGCAATTTCTAAATTAAAAAAGCCATAAATATCCACAAAATGGAAAATGATAAGTTATTAATGTTAAACTAATAACTAATAAACTAATAAAAAATATTAAAAATTATAGAGGAATTGAGCCTTTGCCAACAACTCTGATTTTCTAATCCCTATATCTTTGCAACCCAATGTCATATTTGAAACTATCAATTCTTTTAAAGCAAATAATCAGTGGGTTTGAGCGCTAAATAATCAGGTTGCCAAAACAAAGGGAATAGAAAATATAAGCTTGTGGCAAAGATTTAAGTATTTTTCAAACATCAAAGATGAACAAATAAAGTTTTAAACTGTAAAAAAGGAGGACGGAAGGTTAAAATTTTTATTATGAAAACACACTAAAAAATGTGAATATACACGAATAGCGAATAATGCTGTTTCTATGTCGTATTGTACCTGTAATATATGTATAAAAATGTTTATGTCTAATTGTACTTGTAATATATATATGTATATGTATATATATGCAGGGTGAGTCCAAAAAAAGTTTTATTAGAGGCACCTGGTGAAAAATTGTATCTTTTTTGTGCAACTCTCCTGTATGGTGTTTTTAATATTTTTAGCTAAGGAATTGAGTCTTTGCCACAAACTCTGATTTTCTGATCACTATATCTTTTGAACCAAATGTTGCAGACCTAAAATTCTCCATTGAAAAACACTTTTTTCGGAAAAATTAGACCAGAACTAAAAATTGCGAATTTTCTTCTTACAATTTTACGAATTTTCTGGGATTCTGTAATTCAATCTTTTTAAAATTTTAGATTTCGATAAAAATGAATAAGAGAAAATTGAGAGAAAAAAAGGTTCGCGGATTTTTTTGGGCCAATTAATTATCAAAATTATTATCAAAATTCAAAAAATATTGAAAAAACACTATTCAGGAGAGTTGCACAAAAAAGGTTCAATTTTGCACCAGGCGCCGCAAATCACACTTTACACTTTACTCACCCTGTATATATAAAATGTTTATGTACGTATATATTTGTTTTGATAACTATTATACAGGATGTATCCAGAGGGGAATAAGCAATGTATAATGTAAATTATTTACACATTATACACATCATACATTATTTGTATTATGTGTATATAGCCTATTATAGTGCCAATATAAATAATCAATTATTGCAATAAAACTCAGAACAATCAGCATTATGTTGATTCTTGGATCTGGGTTATTTAAAAAGGTTAGCGGGTTAAAGGAATTGAGTCTTTGCTACATACTCATATTTGCTAATACCTATATCTTTGCAACCCTGTATGCGTCTCTGGACGTAGTTCAACTTGTCATATCTTGTTTAGCTTTTCTTGCTATTAATTATACACTTCTAGCTTTGGAACCCAGCTTCGGTTGGAAACTTTATCTGTAAATTTTAAACCGAGCTAATAATATTTCGTGGTTCTAACAAGATTTTCAGTCAAAGTAATTGAGTCTTTGCCACAAATTCAGTGTTTAAAACCTATTTCTTTGCAACCTTATGATGCAAACCTTTGATATTTCAAACTTACATTATTTGATCTAATAGCATTCATAGTTTGAAATATTAAAGGTCTACAACATTGCGTTGCAACGATATTGAAATTAGAAAATCAGAGTTTGTGGCAAAAACTCAATTCCTTTTAGGCAAATCGATCTTAAGGGTTCACGAGTTATGATAAGACAGACAAACAAACAAACAGATATTACTAATTTATTAGGATAGATACCAGTTCTCTCCTCTATACTTTCCTCCTAATAAAATGTCCTCCTTGTTAACTATCATTTTCTTTCCCATTCTCCTTCCCTACCTACCAACGTCTTGGTCTAAATTAAACTAAATTTCCCTTCACATTATCCTGTTGGACTAACCATGGATTCGTAGNTCCCTTACTAACAAATACTAAGAAATTGACGCTCCCTAATTTATTTTTTACGGTAAACTAGGTTGTACCAAAGTGAATAGACGCAAGATCGGGAGGGATAGTGTTTGCGTTGATTTTACTGTCACGGGTTAGGACGGTTTAGGATGGGTTGGAAGTGGCCGACGGCTTTGAGGGTGGTTGGGACGGGTTCAGACAGTTTAGGACGATTATGAGTGGACGAGTTATGACGGGTTCGGACAGGCTACGATACGACAGGTCTAAGGGTCATTGGGACGGCCGGTAGGATGGGAAAGGACGGGTTGGTACCGATTAGAACAGGTGGGATGGGTTGGGAGGGGTTTCAACGGTTGGGACCCGGGTTGGTACGGATTAGAACAGGTTGGGATGGGCTTGACGTGTGGGGACTCAATGGGAAAGGTTAAAACATGTTGAGAATGGTTAGGACATTTTTTCCATTCCTTTGAAAAAGAAGATTAGAAA